CAGTGGGGGAGTCAGGAGCAGGGTGCCCTGGGTGCAGTGGTCTCATGTGAGGGAGGTGGGGGGCTGCATTCCCATCTCTACTTGGCACTGAAAGTGGCAAGCCATATTTGGAGAGGCTTTATACTGGAAGATGGGATTTGGTGGGTGGGGGAAGGTTTTTATTTTCTTGTTGCTGCGAGGGGGGGATTTATTCTAGGAGGAGAAATGGGTGGGGGGATTTGTGCTGGAGGGGAGATTGGGGGGGATTTGTGCTCGGGGGGGAATTCTGCTGGGAGGGGGATGGGAGGGGAGCATTTGTGCTAGGAGGCAAAATTATGGGAGGGAGAGGATTTGTTCTAGGAGGGGGATGCGGGGGATTTGGGCTAGGAGGAGGGTTGGGGGGAAAGGGAATTGTGATAAATCCTGTATAATAATAATAATTTGAGGGGGAAAGGACTTGTGCTGGGGGAGGGGTGGATTTGTGCTGGGAGGGGGGTTTTGGGAGGGGGGTGTGGGATTTGAGCTGGGAAAGGGTTGTGTCGGAAGAAGATTTATGCTGGGAGGGGGATTTGTACTTGAAGGAAAGGGAATTTTTGTGCGGGGAGACTTTTTGGCTTGCAAAGGGAATTTATGCTTGTGGGAGGGGAAGGGTGCATATTTGTGCATGATTTATTGGGGAGGGAAGGAGAGGATTTTTCCTAACACATGCTCAGACATCGTAAGTATATCTATTTGGTATCTCTTTTGGTATCTTCTCCCTGGGGCCTAGTTAACTGGTCAGATGCTATCAGCCTCTATTAGACTCCGGCTTTCCTCCTCACATCATGTCATTGAGACGTGACCAGTCTCCTCCAATACACACTCTCTGGGGTCTCTCATATATCTCAGTACAGGGGGCTTCACTCTCATCTTTATTCACAGACACCAGAGAGACTCAGAGAGACGTCAAAGCTGAGGAGGAGGAAGAAGCGCATGTGAGGATTAAAGAGGAGGAAGGAGGAGGACATGTGAGGATTAAGGAGGAGGAGGTTCCTATGGAGATCAGCACAGGTGAGGAACAGTAAAGATTCTCATGCCCTCCTCGTCATTAAATTCTAATCAAGATGTATTCCTTGTGTGCTGTAAAATATAACTATATGGACTCCCCTCCAAATTACTGAGTTCACATGTTTCAAGTGAAGGGTAGACGTGCAATTTGCTTAGTTTTGATTACATTTTGATGAAAATTAAGTTTTCGGAGATTTGGATATATCTGAATTTCCAAATTGACATAGAATCAAATGGCAACGAATCCAAAACAAAGTTATAATGAAAATAACTGAATGCATTCTTTCATTCGGATGACATCACATTTTCGAAAATTTTTGTTAACATCCGAATTCATTGTGAAAAGCTTTGGTTGTTAAGGAGTTGGCAGCCGCCGCCGTGTCCTTAACAACTATGACTAAACAAAAGAAGTGCTGGTTGAAACATTTTTTAAAAAAAACAGCGTGGGGGTCCCACCCTAATCCTTACCAGGCACTTCAGGTCTGGTATGGACTTTGAGGGGAATCCCATGGCCAAATTTTTTTTAAAAAAATGGCGCGGATTCCCCCCCAAATCCATATCGGGTGACAAAGAACTTACTATGGATTTGGGAGGTTGGAGGGGGGGGCATGCAGTGTTTTTTTTTTTTTTTTTTTTAACGACACTTCACTTGTTTACATTCTGCTGTCAGCAGGGAATTCTGCTGACATCAGATGAGTCGTGGTTGTTAAGGACGCAATGGCAGCCTGCTCCTTAACCACTTCAATACCGGGCACTTCTACCCCCTTCCTGCCCAGGCCAATTTTCAGCTTTCAACGTTGTCGCACTTTGAATGACAATTGCGCGGTAATGCAACACTGCACCCATATGAAATTTTTATTATTTTTTTTCACACAAATAGAGCTTTCTTTTGGTGGTATTTAATCACCACTGAGTTTTTTTATGTTTTTGCTAAATAAAACAAAAAACACCTGAAACTTTTGAGAAAAAAAAAAAACGCACTTTTCTTCATTTCTGTTATAAAAGTTTGCAAATAAATAACATTTCTTCATAAATTTAGGTCAAAATGTATTCTGCCACATTTCTTTGGTGAAAATAATAATAATAATTGAATTTTTTTTTTTCAAATGTTTCTATTCTTTTGTGTTTTTTTTTATTAAATTTTTTTCTTTTTTTTTACTATTTTTATTTTTCAGCACACTGTGACCAAAGCAATACAATGTTACCATAGTAACTACTCTGGACAAGTGATCAGGATTTTTTTTTTTTTTACACGTTATGATTGCTAATACTGATGTATTTCATTGACTTTTGTAATCATTGTTACTGAATGAAACTGATTCATTCAGTCTTTTGTTGTGATTAGCTGTGATTGGGCAAAGCTGATCACATGATACAGATGGGCTGTGATTGGCCCTGTCTGTATCATGTGACTGCCTTGACCAGTCACAGCTAACAATATAATTGTATACAATGGATGGCATGACAGGAAGCCATCCATTGTATACAATTGACATGTGATCTACTGTGATTGGTCACAGCGGTCACATGACACTGGCAATGGGTCGGTGTAGTGATATGTCATCGGTTGTGTCCCGTGGACACAATCGGTGACAGATCGTGTGCCGCGCAGCTCGTTTTGGCAGGACGTCATATGACGCCCAGTCACAATGGCAAGTGTCAGTCTGCTATAGGCCTGGGCAGGAAGGTGTTGACAACCACAGCTATTCACAATGAATTTGGATCCATCTGAAGTTAGAGGGTGGATTCGAAAATGTTTCCAGTCCATCAGGTCTAATGAATATGAAAAACTAATCCTGAAGAAACAAAGATGAATCTCTGACACAAAATGAAACTGAAAAAACTAAATGATCAATCTAACAAACACATCTGAAATGAAATGTTCTGGCGTGCACATGTCTAGTGAAGAGTTTTATTGATATTGCATCATACAAGGACTATTTAGACAATTGTGGCTTCCAGTGATTTTAGAAAGGCCCTTTCCTCTTCCATCATGATTATTTGGACAATAGGTGGATGGATTTAAATTGTGTACGTTTGTCCACAGTGCTGATGACCTCAGTAAACCATGTATCAGCCGCTTCCTCCCACCGCTCCTCTGTAAAGGTTGGAATTCATTAAGCCACGTGACTGGATGACATGAATGTCTGGGCACCTCATGGTCAGTTGGGTTTGTCCGGGAATGTAGAGGGAGTGTTCCAAGGGGGATGAGGATATATCCAACTTCAGAGTACCAAACTGAGGCTGGAAGCCCATCTCTGGGGAAAGGAAAAATGTTTGTTTAGGTCTTTGGCAGGGGTCTCCAAACCTTTCAAACAAATGGTCAGTTTACTGTCCTTCAGACTTTAGAGGGCCGGATTGTGGCCGGGGGGGGTAGAAAATGTTCTGGCCCCAGCATCAAAGAAAATAAACATAGCCTTAGGGTTGGTGGTCAGTAGGAGGAGGAGGAATAGTGCCCCATCTTTGGTATTAGTAAGAGGAATAGTATCCCATTATTGGTACCAGTGGAATAAATGGTGCCCCATTGTTGGTGTCAGTGGGAGGAGGATGAGTGCCTCATATCTTTGGGAGGAATAGTGCCCCAAGGGCCGGATAAAGGCTAGCAAAGGGCCAAAGTTTGGCGACCATTGGTCTAGGGGATCAGGAACAGCAGCGTTTAGCTTACCCAATCCCTCACTTCCCCAGCAGTCTGCACTTTATTCTTCTCCCTTACGCATGCAGACTGACCCTTTTTTGCATCCATAGTGACACTGTACTACTTGTGGGGGAGGATAAAGATTATTTTTTGTTTGCACTGATTGCTTTTACACCCATAAAGGCTGTAAAAACAATCATTTCTCCTTCTCTCTGGCTGCATTCCTTCACAGTATTGAGAAATACCGTGAGAGCTGTGATTGGTGACAGCTTGTCATATGGTATAAGGCTGTTGTGAATAGCCCTGTACCATGTGACCTCTGTGATCATTCACAGATTTCACAAGTAGTAAGCAATGATGTCAGGAAGTGACATCTTGCTTACTACTATTCATGTGATCACTGATTGGCCAATCAGTGATCACATGAATCAGGACCTCACACAGAGATCCCGTACAGCGATCGGTGTCCCAGGGGAGCGCGCACAGGCTGTGAATGCGGGCGCCGTTTATAAACGGCTACCCACACCTGCACTGCTCCCGTCCGGCTTATGTACATAAACGGCCAGACGGGATCAGTGCAAGTGGTTGAGGTGGCAAAATGGAGGAAATATAATTTTTATTAGGTTTATTCATATAATGGTTAGGTTTAGGGCAGGGAACTCCAAATGTGTAATTGGGATTCCATGTGAGTCAGAATGCGGGCTATACTAAGAGATTCCTATGTCGTCTAGGTTGTTATATAAGTGGATCCCTAAGTATTTTGCACTTCAACTGATCAGTAGTCTGAAGTTTAGAGCTGGCTAGGTATTTATAGGGTTGTGTTGTACCTATTGGAAGGCAGTAGATTTTCCCAGTCCACTTTCTGTACCGAATCTCCCCCAAAGTCCTTCAAAGCTCTTGGAAGCACCACGGTACAACAAAACATCATCCAAATAGAGCGAAGTGCTCTCATTCCAGGTGCCTGAGCGGACACCATCTAATGTATGAGTTGTATTTGATGTTAAAGAACCTGCCGGGAAGTTAGTTACCAACCCCTATTACCATCTGTTTCTCTTTCTCCTTAGATGGACAATACAGAAGGTGCAACACAGATGGACGTTACGCCATCTCTACATATGGGAAGACTGAAGATGACGATGTCACGTCTGATTCCTCTGTGGAAGGCTCAGCTACTCCAAAGATTCCGTCTAGACAAGGGTGTTGTTCTGTAGGTGTCCCCCGTTCAGTTATCCATCATGCAGCTGCAGCTGGCAGAGAGGATGGATCCTTTCCATGTTCTGAGTGTAATGAGACTTTCAGCAAGAAAGCAGAACTTCTCTCGCACCAGAGGACTCATATCATGGAGAAGACGTATACCTGCTCAAAATGTGGGAAGAGCTTCAATGAGAAAGCCAAACTTATGGTGCATGAAATCAATCACAAAATTGAGAAGCAAAATTCATGCTCTGAGTGTGGCAAATGTTTCCGTGACCAATCTGCCCTTCTGATTCATAAAAGGGTTCATACAGAGCAGGTTTACTCATGTGCGGAATGTGGTGGGACATTCACAAAGGAATCCTACCTCATTAGTCATCAGAGAGTGCACGTCGGTAAAAAGGTCTTCTCATGTTCTGAATGTTGGAAGTGCTTTTCCCAGGAGTCCTACTTGCTCAAACATCAACGGATCCACTCTGGAGAGAAGCCATTTTCATGTTCTGAATGTGGGAAAAGTTTTGCTGAGAAAGGGAAATATATTGCCCATCAAAGGTACCACCAAGGGAAACCATTCAAATGCTCAGAGTGTGGGAAAAGTTTCACACTGAAGAGGGGCCTTATTGACCATGAGAGAATTCACACAGGAGAACGCCCATTTGTTTGCTCCGAGTGCGGAAAGGGTTTTTAGACAGAAAGCAACTCTAATGATACACTGGAAAACTCATCCAGGCGTAAACTTTAAGCCCTACCCATGTCCTAACTGTGAACAGTGCTTTGACCGCAAAAGCGAGCTTGTTAGTCACCAAAGATTTCACGTAGCGGAGACGCCTTATTCATGTTCGGAGTGTGGGAGGTATTTTCCAAACAAGGGGAGCTTTGTGAGACACCAGTCCAACCAGAGCAACGAGACGGCCTTCATATGTTCTGAATGTGGCAAGTCTTTTCCATGGAGAGGTTGTCTCGTTTATCATAAGACAATACACAATGACTGGATGCCAACGTTGTAAAAGCACTAGGAGATATTTGGATGGTCACTTTTATGGCCAGAGGTGGACATCTGCCCATTACACCTCCATCAGCTTGTTGGTCATCCTATTCCAAAACCATAGACAATTACATGCTGATGTTGGATGAGAAGATCTGAATTCATTCCAAAGGTGTTCAGTAGGGTTGAGGTCAGGGCTCTGTGCAGGAAGCTCAAGTTTCTCCTTATCAAACCCATCAAACCATCTCTTTATGGAGCTGGCTTGGTGCACAAGGAATTGGTCATGCTAGAAAAAAAATGGCCCTTCCCCAAACTGTTGCCATAAGGTCGGAAGAGCTCAATTGTCTAAAATGTCTTTGTATGCTGTAGCATTAACAGTCCCCTTTATGGGAAACACCTAAACTCGATCATATGGAGTCAACATAGTTTTGGCCACATAGTGTAGATCCTATTATTATTTTTCTTTTTTTTTTAGTGTTTGAGCAAATTAGAGACTTCTTTTTTTTATCCTTATATAGATTTTCTGCTCAAGAAAAGCAGTAGGGTTAGGGATGACATCAAACATGGCACAACATCAAAGTAGTGTTGCAAATTAAGAACAGTAGACTCAGGTAGAGAGGTCAACACAGAAAGACCATAAAGATCTAGTGATAGCTCACGCCATGTGATGGTAACGTCATCCATGCTGGATGAATTGAGTAGAGGTGCTCACAGACCTTAGATAGCTGTTGGGCATATATACATATTCTAGGCTACGGAAAAAGGGAATGAAATGGCTAAGTCCTTGACCTTTTGTCCTCTTAAGGCTTATTAAAGAGTCATAGCCCACTGTTGTCCCCATCAGGAAGTACCATGCAGCCATTGCTGGAGTGTATATATGTAGCCTGGAAGTGGCTACAGGAGTCAGCAGCTTTTGGACATAACAAAGGATGAGCTCCCATGGCAGTTGTGTATGACACCCAGGGCTTTAGCTTACTAAATGTTATCCACATAGGGTATTTTCATACCTCAGTAAATCAATGCTATCAAGGGTTTGCTTTATCTTTTGAAAAAATTACAAATTTCTGTACAAAACCAAATAGAATGTATTCCATAAAACCTGTATGCTCATTTTTGTTAATTGTATGTGAAGATGTCAGCGCTACAGACATTTGTTTCTTGTTTTAGAGCAGTGCTTCTCAACCTCTTTCAGTTTCAGCACCCTTTAAACATATGCAAAATCCTGAGGAACCCCAACTGAAAATGTTACTGTAATGGGAAACCTGAGCCTGGGACGAGGTAACCACCTTGATGAAATTAACTTTACACAGAAGATTCCTTTACACCTCAGGTCTTCCCATCACACCAGGGGTCTTCCCATCACAACAGAGGTCTTCCCATCACATCAGAGTCCCCTCTTCATTTCAGAGAGTCCCCCATCACATCAGAGGTCTTCCCATCACATAAGAGGTCTTCCCATCACACATGAGGTCTTCTCATCACTTCAGAGGGTCCCCCATCACATCAGAGGGTCCCCCATCACATCAGAGGTCTTCCCATCACATCAGAGGTCTTCCCATCACATCAGAGGTTTCCTCCAATCCCATTAAAGTCCCCTCTTTACATTAGACTTTCCACCATTACCATCAGAGGTCCCTCATCACAATCCGAGGTAACCCTCTTCACCTCAGAGGTCCTCCTACATGTCAAAAATCTCCCCATCACATCAACAACCCAGATATATATCAAGAGTTCCCCCATCACATCAGGAGTTTCCCCCCCATTCACATCAGGAGTTTTAAAAAAAAAAAAAAAAAAAAAATTTGGTACCCATTGTTTGTGTGTTTTGTTTTTTTGTGTGTTACATCAAGAGTTCAACCATCACATCAAGAGTTCCCTCCATCACATCAAGAGTTCCCTCCATCACATCAAGAGATCCCCCGATCCACATCAAGAGTTCCCCCGATCAAATCAAGAGTTCCCCCGATCACATCAAAAGTTCCCCCATCACATCAAGAGTTCCCCCCCATCATATCAAGAGTTCCCCCCCCCCATCACATCAAGAGTTCCCCCCCCCATCACATCAAGAGTTCCCCCCCCATCACATCAAGAGTTTCCCCCGATCACATCAAGAGTTCCCCCCATCAGAACTCCTTCACAACTTTCCACAAGAGTTCCCCCATCACATCAAGAGTTCCCCCCCATCACATCAAGAGTTCCCCCCCACATCAACATAAAAGAGTTCCCCACCATCACATCGAGAGTTCACCCATCACATCAAGAGTTCCTCCTTCACATCAAGAGTTCCCCCCATATCGCATCAAGAGTTCCCCCATCACATCAAGAGTTCACCCATCACATCAAGAGTTCCTCCTTCACATCAAGAGTTCCCCTATCACATCAAGAGTTCACCCATCACACATCAAGAGTTCCCCCCATCACATCAAGAATTCCCCCAATCATCACATCAATCGAAAGAGTTCCCACCAAGAGTCACATAAAGAGTTCCTCCCCATCACATCAAGAGTTTCCCCATCACATCAAGAATTCCACCTATTACATCAAGAGTTGCCCCGATCACATCAAGAGTTCACCCATTCACATCAAGAGTTGCCTCTTTTACATCAAGAGTTCCCCCCGATCACATCAAGAGTTCCCTCCATCACATCAAGAGTTCCACCCATCAAATCAAGAGTTCCCCCCATCACATCAAGAATTCCACCTATCACATCAAGAGTTCCCCCGATCACATCAAGAGTTCCCCCATCACATCAAGAGTTCCCCCGATCACATCAAGGGTTCCCCCCTATCACATCAAGAGTTCTCCCCATCACATCAAGAGTACCCCTGATATCAAGAGTTCCCCCCATCACATCAAGAGTTCCCCCATCACATCAAGAGTTCCCCCCCATCATTTCAAGAGTTCCCCCCCATCACATCAAGAGTTCCCCCCCCATCACATCAAGAGTTCCCCCGATCGACATCAAGAGTTCCCCAATCAGAACTCCTTCACAACAAGAGTTCCCCCCATCACATCAAGAGTTCCCCATATTGCATCAAGAGTTCCCCCATCTCGCATCAAGAGTTTCACCCATCACATCAAGAGTTCCTCCTTCACATCAAGAGTTCCCCTATTACATCAAGAGTTCACCCATCACATCAAGAGTTCCCCCCATCACATCAAGAATTCCCCCATCACATAAAGAGTTCACCCCATCACATCAAGAGTTCACCCATCACATCAAGAGTTCCCCCATCACATCAAGAGTTCCCCCATATCGCATCAAGAGTTCCCCCATCTCGCATCAAGAGTTCACCCATCACATCAAGAGTTCCTCCCTCACATCAAGAGTTCCCCCCCATCACATCAAGAGTTCACCCATCACATCAAGAGTTCACCCCCATCACATCAAGAGTTCACCCATCACATCAAGAATTCCCCCATCACATCAAGAGTTCCCCCCATCACATCAAGAGTTCACTCATCACATTAAAGAGTTCACCCCCATCACATCAAGAGTTCCCCCCATCACATCAAGAGTTCCCCCATCACATCAAGAGTTCACTCATCACATCAAAAGTTCCCCCCATCACATCAAGAGTTCCCCCCATCACATCAAGAGTTCACCCATCACATCAAGAGTTCCCCCCATCACATCAAGAGTCCCCCCCATCACGTCAAGAGTTCACCCATCACGTCAAGAGTTCACCCATCACGTCAAGAGTTCCCCCATTACGTCAAGAGTTCCCCCGATCACATCAAGAGTTCCCCGATCACATCAAGAGTTCCTCCTTCACATCAAGAGTTCCCCCGATCACATCAAGAGTTCCCCCGATCACATCAAGAGTTCCCCCCATCACATCAAGAGTTCCTCTTTCACATCAAGAGTTCCCCCGATCACATCAAGAGTTCCCCCCATCACATCAAGAGTTCCCCCATCACATCAAGAGTTCACCCATCACATCAAGAGTTCCCCCCATCACACATCAAGAGTTCCCCACCCATCACATCGAGTTCACCCCATCACATTCAACAGTTCACCCATCACATCAAGAGTTCCCCTGATCACATCAAGAGTTCCCTCCTTCACATCAAGAGTTCCCCCATCACATCAACAGTTCACCCATCACATCAACAGTTCACCCATCACATCAAGAGTTCCCCCGATCACATCAAGAGTTCCCCCGATCACATCAAGAGTTCCCCCATCACATCAAGAGTTCCCCCCATCACATCAAGAGTTCACCCATCACATCGAGTTCACCCCATCACATCAACAGTTCACCCATCACATCAAGAGTTCCCCTGATCACATCAAGAGTTCCTCCTTCACATCAAGAGTTCCCCCATCACATCAAGAGTTCACCCCATCACATCAAGAGTTCCCCCCATCACATCAAGAATTCCTCCTTCACATTAGAGGTTCCCCCTTCAGATCGGAGGCTCTCCATCACATCAGAGGTTCCCCTATCACATTCAAGTCCCTCTTCACCTCAGAGGTCCCTCATCCCAGCAGAGGTTCCCCATCCCATCAGAGGTACCCTATCCCATCAGAGGTCTCCCTCACATCTGAGGTTCCCCCACCACATCAGAGTACCTTCTTCACCTCAAAGGTCCTCCTACATGTTAAAGTCTCCCCATCAGATCAACAACCCACCTATACATTAGATTTTCCCCATCACATCAGAGGTCCCTCATCATATC